GCAGCCTCATCAGGAACCCAGCACTTGGCTTGATTTCTCTACATTGGCTGAGTTCGCAGACTCTGCACGGGCTCTCTTGGCAGCTTCAGGCTACACTGCAAAGCTTCTTCAGTAGAAGGGGAATTTCTCTTTCCAAATGATTGAGCCACAGTTGCAAAATCAAGTTTGCTCAGCATTTATCATTTCAAGTTGGAAGCACACACGTAAAATATGTGAGTTGGAGCCTAGAGCCTAGGTCTACAGAAAGGAAGTTCCTTGTGGAAAGTGGAGGAGAGTTACATATCCTCCCAAATCACACTGCTACAGAAAGGATAAATGGATTTTGGACAGTGAAAATAAAATATCACATCTCTTACAGGTGAATGGGATTTTTGCAATTAACAAGAGGCAGGATATGGTGGGCAGTAAAGAAAAGCAAAGCCTCCCTGGTGAAGATGGGGTGCTTATAACCAGCTCCGAGCCTTGGCAAAGGTCTACCCAGCAGGTGGCCAGTGCCAATAGGTTCAATACACAGCACCACCTGAGGCAAAAGCCATGTAGGATGCATCCAAGAATTTGTTTTGCTTTGGTTTGGTTGGATTCTTGAGCAGATTGTCTGGAAAGTGCATCAGATGGACTGCTGTAAAACAGTTTATTGTTCTATGTATTTAATTCACATTCCATGATGTGAGGTAAGTTAGCCTCACTTTTCCCATTTTGGTAAGGATTCTTTTGGGCATTGGTGAGGATGGGAAGACTGGCACCTAGCCTGGACAGCCCTCTTTATTTCCTGGAATATTAGCCAGACTTCTCTGCCAGGAAATGCTTTATGATACACAAAAACTTTTGAGGGGCTTCCTTGCTGTGATTAAAAGGGAAAAATAGATCCCACTAGGGGGTGCTAAGCCTCAAAATAAAAATTCAAATCAAGTATGCATCTTTGGTTTGCCCATACTTTTCAATATTTATCTAGCAACTACTTTTTTTTTTAATTAAATTCTTTTATTGGTACATTGTAGGTATACAACACAATTACATTTCTCATTGGGAATTGTACCTTTACATAGTGCATCCTGATTCTCATTTTTTCCCCATTCCTAGCCCTCCCTTCACTCCCTCCACCCTTCCCTATTTACAAAGACTTTATTTCCATTTGTTCCATTTCTCAGCATTTTTCCTTTCCCTTCTTTCCTTTCCCCTGCCCCTCCCACTACCCCTACCCCTTGGGCCTTTTCTTCCTATTTTACATTATCGATTATTCATTCTAATCATCGGTACATTTTAGGTATACAATATAATGACATTCATCATTGGAAATTTGCACCTTTACATAGTGTCTCTTGGTTCGTATTTTTCACCCTTGCCCAGCCCTCCCTTCAACCCCTCCAGTCCTCCCTATTTACAAAGATTTTGTTCCTATTTTTCCATTTTCTCATATTAATCCCATTCCCTTCTATCCTTTCCCCTAGCCCTCCCACTTCCTTCCTCTTCGCCCCTTTTCTTCCTATTTCACATTATCTATTATACATTTAGTCCATATTTACACTTTCAGTTTCTCACAGAAGAGAAACTATTCTGCATTTACACGTGTGTCCTATTTATTTCACTTAAGAGTATCACCTCAATGTGCATCCACTTAGCTATAAATGTCTCTAATTTCTCATTTTTTATGGCTGAGTAGTACTCCATTTTATTTTTAAAAACCCACATTTTCTTTATCCAGTCTCCAGTTGATGGGCATTTGGGCTGTTTCCAAGTTTTAGCTAGCAACTACTTTTTATTACTACTGTATGTTTGTACTGCATGATAAATACATTCATTGTAGGAAACTGGTGCACACACATCTCATCTTAATCCTTTTCGCTTCCTCTTCCCCTTCCCTCCCTAAACCCTCTTCCTGTCTCATGAGCAAATATTCACTCTTTTACCCTCAATTTGCCTGAAAGGAGCACCTGAAGCCAGGGTATCTTATCACTGAATGTGACCCCGGGCAACAAGTGGGAGGACACAGGGAAGCAGGACAGGGCCGTAAGAGCCAGCCCAGGAAGATGCGGTACCGAGCTGAGCACCTCTTGGTATCCACCAGCTGACTGCTTGAGATCAGGCGGACTCAGCCTTCCGCTGGTCAGTGTCACCAGCGTGGCCTCAGCTGCCTGCACACATCTGAGTTGGACACAAGTGGCCGTGGGCATGTCTTGGGGGTCTCGTGCCTCAGCGACTACAGAAGGAGGCAAAAGGCACCGAGAGAGGGTGCAGCAACGAGATGTGGGGCTGTGGTCCGTGGCGTGGTCCTAGGGCACACATGGCTGGTGCTGCCCAGTGGCTGAGGCTGGAACGGGTGGCCAAAGACCTCAGAGACAGGTGAGCAGCAAGCAGAAGTGCCTGATACAATGAACGGCCTTCAGAATAAACAATGCCACTTGTCAAAGGCATAGTACCACAGGGAGAACAACTGGAAGATGTGGTTTTGACTCTGAACATGAATAATCACTTCCCATTTAAGTGAAATAAAACATACAGAAGCTTAAATATTGCAGTTTCTCTATTATGAGAAACCCAAAATATAAATAGAGCAAAATAAAAGATATAATAGGAAATAGACAGATAGATCTTTTTCAAAAAGGGGACCAATAGATGAATGGAGGGGGAAGGGAAGGACAGGGAGGCAGGGGAAATGAAAAAAGAATTAAGCTGCGTTGTGTACATGTACCAGATCCTGTGAGGAATGTAATCACTAGCTACTGCAAACATGTGCCAACAAAAAAATAAAAATTGAAAAATAAACAAGCCAGACAAGCTATGGGTTGCTTAAATGTATCTTAGTTGAAAATGGATTCCATTAGACTTGCTGCTAGTCATCTTAGAAATGAGCTTGGTTATTTATCTCTGAATTAATCCTGTCATCCTTTACTGAATGAATGGCACGTGATAACTGACTGAATAAACGGTGCTGTTGGTTTTGTTTGTTTCTTTGTTTTGTTTTGTTACCGGGGATCGAACTCCGGTCTTTCCGCTTACAAGGCAGGCAGCGGAACCACTGAGCTAAATCCCTGGGCCCTGCTGTTGGTTTTTGAGAATGAGGACTTGTTTTTCAAGCTGATTCATCTTTGGGAGACTCAGAACTAGTGATAGGATTACTGGTGTGTACCACTACATCAGGTTTAAAATTAATTGTTTGGAAATAATTTCAAGCTTATAAAAAGTTGCAAAAATAAAAATAGTAAAACTGAATAACCACATAGTCTTTATCCAGATTTGCCCATTGTTATGATTTTACATTATATATATACATATTATATACATCACGGTCCTTTCTATGTCCTTTAATGTGTATTTCTTAAGAATGGAGGTAATTTCTTAAATAGTAAGTCAGATCTGCTGTCCATATTCCGATATTGTCAGTTGCTTTAATGTCCTCAATGGCCTTTCTCCCTCTGTGCAGTGTAGGATCCAGTCTATGGTCAGGCAGTGCAATTCCAAGTTGTGTCTTTATTTATTTATTTTGGGGGGGGGGGTACCAGGGATCGAACTCCGGTCCTTGCGCTTGCGCAGCTGGTGACAAAACCACTGAGCTAAATCCCTGGCCCCCAAGTTGTGTCTTTTTAGCCTCACTTGGGCTGGAATCATTCTGCCTGCTTTCTTTGTCTTTTATGACATGAACATTTCTGATGCATAAAGTTCCTTCTCCTAATTTTTACAAACAGGAATTTCCCTTTTGATGGCCGAGCAATATTTCCATGTTCATTTCTAGCCAGAACAATCCATCAGGGTGTCATACTTGGGAACCCATGACTTCCATTTGCTCCTCCCAGGAGAAATCAATTTTAATCATCAGGCCCAGGTTTTATCTGACTTCTCTACTATGTGATTGTTGTTTTTTTATTCTTCTTTGCAACTAATGAGGAGGCTGTGACGAGATACCACAGGACCACAAAAATAGCTCTCTCTCTCTGGCAAAATTTCCCTCTAAATTTAGCATCTATTGATGATTCTTTCCTAATCCAATCCTCAGCATGGTGGTTGCAGAATTCATTGCTTTTTCACTCAAGCACAGTCAGCCCTTGACACGCAGCTGTAACCAAGAGTCCCTCCTTCTTCCCCGTGTAGCAGCCATCAACATGGACGCAGGAGTTTCTATGCTTTTCAATGATTTTAAATTCATTACTGCATTTAATTGTTTTCTTGTTTAAATGTCCCCGATTTGGCCACTACAAAGCTAGCACCTAAGTCCTTATAACATCTTTCTTCCCAGCACTTCCTTACTATCTGGTATAATAAAATTTTCCTGGCCCATCTTGCAAATGCCTTGTTCCAATCCTGAAATCAGCTATTTTCCTGCTGATTTTGGTACAGAATGGTATTAGAGATCAAGACCTAAGCTCTAGGTAATCTCACTGCTACTGTGCATACACATGCATGTATACGTAAACATACATGTATACCTAAGTGTCTAAAAAATAAAAAAGCATAGGCAGATAGATTCTCACACACGCCTTTTTTTAGAAATGAAGTGACTGATATTTCCAATTCCAATTTGTACCTTCAGAGCTCTTTCTTGCTTTTCCATATTTTATATTTGTGTTTCTTTTTCAAAGAATGAATCCTGGCTCCTGGAAACAACACATTTATTCATTTGTTCAGTCCTGTGATGTACCAAAAATAGTTTCAGAATTGTTTCACAAAAATCACACTAAGAAATAAACCTACCAAAAAGAGTTCAGGATTTATTTGCAACTCTCATCAGCATCATCTAACCTCACCTCCCCCACAAGCACACACACATGTACACACACACATGCACACACACACATTCCTCCTTCCTAGGACTAAGGTTACAGAGTCAAACACTGTGTTAGTGCATTGACTTGAATTTCCTCTCTCTCTTTTTCCATCTCTTCCTCTTTTTCTCTTTTCCTTTGTGCAAGATTATAGCATTTATTTAAAAAAACAATTAGATAAAGTATTTCTATTTTGTTTTCAGGCTTAGCTTTCCCTCATTAATTATTTTTATTTTTCTCTAGAGCACTGAATTTGTAGAATATTCAAGTGATTTCAAGAGTCGAAGCCTATACAGACTGCATTGTCAGAAGCGCCCCTTCCCGCATCCTCCCTGAGCACAGGTACGTTCACCTCCACACCTCTCATTCGTAACCAGCTTCCCTGTTTTCGGTTTATCCATTCTGTCTCTTGGGGTGCCAAGGAGATGACCTGGCAGCCCTGAGTCTTTGTTTCTTCACCTTTGAACCCCTGTAAGGCCACCGTGAAGGCCCTGTGAGGCAGATTCTGCAAAATGCGCGGCTCTGGCGGTGGGGACTCAGGGCAGGATCTTCCTCAGCTCACTTCAGCCACTTAGGCAGTTGCTTTCTCTCACAGTTGGTTTCTCCCGGGAGCTCCGGAATCTTCTCTCCCCTCTCAACCCTCACATCCAAAGGTGAGAGTCGGCCAGATCCCAGGAGAGTGTCCTGGGCCACAACGCCGGAGGGGAAGATTCCAGGGGTCAAAGAAAGCCCGCCTCGTCTGCTGGCATCCCCTAACAACACCCTCTGGCCCTGCTCTCCCCGCTAGCTGCACTTTTGGGGGGGCTCGATGTTTTTCTCATACCTGTCCCCCTATTACCCACCCTCACACCCCCTTTATCCCCTTTTTTTTTTTTTTGGTACCGGGGATCGAACTCGGGTCCTTGCTCTTGCGCAGCAGGCGGCGAAACCACTGAGCTAAATCCCCCGCCCTATTCCCTTCCTTTTGTTTGTGACAGTCTCCCTTCTACTCATCATGAGTTTTAGATTCCACATGTTCAGAACGTGCAGTATTTCTCCTTCTGACTGGGCTTATTGCTCTCAACATGATGGTCTCCAGATTCATCCGTTCTCCTCCAAACGACAGATCGCTGTTCTTCCTCGTGGCGGAATAACGTTTTCTTCATCCACATTTTCTTTATCCACCCGTCTGTCAATGGCACCGGGATTGGTTCCGGTCTTGGTTACCGTGAATGGTCAGCACCCTTCGTACCATCGCTGAGGATCCACCCCTTCCTTTCCTACTGTGTCTCCTTTGGACTCCGACCCTTTATAACCCACCCCATACGCCATCAAAAACAACAGCAGCTTCCTGACGTGCAGCCGTGTACACACCAGGCTCCAGCACAGCAAAATTTGCCAAAAACCTTCATTGCTTCCAACTTCTCAAGGAAGAACAAGTTCCTTTTCTAAGCCCCTTGCAGTAGGTCCCGACGGAGCCGCACCCCTGCTCCCCACACGGCAACTCCCTTCAGATTCTGCAGGAATGGGTTCGGTGCTGCTGGTCCCATACTTCTGCTTACCAAGTTGATTTTCCCCACTTTTTTTCTTGGCTCAGCTGCCTTTAAATCCCACCAGCGACGCCTGCAAAGTTCACCCCCAGTACACTTCTTCCCCAGTGGCTTTTTAAAAAAATTTAGCTGGTCTTAGCATAGCCACAACAATCATTTTTTTTCTGTATATATTTATCCAAAAAGTTTATTGTCTACCTAGTGTTTGGAAGACACTTCAACGAGAGCTGAAGTAGATTCTAGCCACCAAGAAACTGAGAAGCCTTAACAGTTTGGCCGCAGGGAAATCAACTCATTGTGGGTAGGTCCCAGGCTCAGTACTGTACAGCTCTGGCCTGGAACAGGAAAGCTCTGTGGGCTTGGTTTATCATCAGTAAGCCAGGGATAAAGTGTCCACTCTGGAGAACTGCTGTGCAGATCTCAGACGTGGAAGTCTGGTTTTTGTTTTTGCTGAATGTGCTTGATAACCCATTAGAAGAGTTGCCCTCCAAGAGGTGGGATTCCTATGCTGACCCCGCCAACATCAACACCTAGGACGCCTGGCTTCTCTCTGGCCTTTCTCTGTCCCCTCCTCTGAAGCTGGGTGAAGCCTCCCTCCACCCTGAGTCACCTCCTGGGGGCTTTGTGTACCTCCTCTGGCCATGAGCCAGCAGGATTGCAGGGTGGGCTCGGCCCCGCCCCACCTCCACCTTCGGCTTCGGGCAGACTCTGGACTAACACAAACCTAGCTGGACAACTTCCTGGCAAGGAAACCCGGACAGAACCCAGACTCCCAGGCCAGCTGGCTCCAGCCCGTCTCTCCTGCTTCAGTCGGGAGAGCCAGGTGACCTGGGACAGGTGACCAGGAACAGCACCAGGGCACCTGTGGGGATCTGAGGCCACCCCTCTTAGAATCCACCTCTCAAGAGCTATTTGGGAAAATACAAGACTGGGCTTATAATATGTGAACAAGCAGACCGCACCCCTCTGTCCAATCACACTGCACAACTATTCCTCACCAAACTCAGCATTAAAACATTCAAGATTTTTTTGTTTCTTTGGATCTTAATTTCAGAAATCTCCTGTCTCATGTAAAACTTGTATTAGATAAATTTCTACACTTTTTCCTGTTAATCTGGTCTTTTAAAAAAAAAAAAAAAATGTCTCAGCCAAGCAACCAGCAATGGATGAGGAAGCACTTCCCCTCCCCGCCAACTCTGAAAATGTTTCCTAAGTGTCCTTACCTGGAAAATGGGGGTAGAAACCCTATTTCATGGTATTCTTCTGAGGATGGAATGACACTGAGTAAAAGTGGTATACAGAGGACTCAGGGATGTCAGTTCCCATCCCTGAGCAGAAAGATATGAAGCAGTGTAATTCCCTAGTCCTTAGAAATGTGTGCACCGCTATTAAAGGGAGAAGACAGGGCTGAGGATGGCTTCGGGGCAGAGCACTTGTCTACAATGTGCTAGACCCTGGGTTCCAGAGACAGAGAGAGACGGAGAGAGGGAGGATAGGCATATATCAAATGCTTTTTTCTTTTTTTTTTTGAGACAAGGTCTTGCTAGGCAATTCAGGCTGGCCTCAAACTCAAAGTGATCCTCCTGCCTCAGCCTCCTGAGGCATACTGTGATGACAGGTATGTGACACCATACCCAGCTCCAAATTCTTAATAGTGTTTCTCTCTAGTTGTGAAAATTCAAGTGATTCTCTTTATACTCCCCTATATCAGTTTCTACATTTTCTGAAGTGAACTTTTACCTCCATGTTCTCATTGTGGTACATTATATAGAGCACGAGACTGCCCATTTTAACTATGTGTGAGCACACCGTTCAGTGGCATTAAGGACATCCTCATCACTGTGCAGCCACCATCAGCCCCGTCTCCAGGGCTCCTCTATCCCAAACTGCAAGTCTATACTCTTTCAATCATAAATCCTGCTTGCACCGTGCCTGTTCCCCTTCTGAGAGCTCTTCTCCCTTGTCTCTGAGTCTCACTGTTCTAGGTAACACAGAAGAGCAATTGTGCAATGTGTGTTCTTTAGGGTGCAGACTTTCTCATTTCATTGGCATGGTGTCCTTGGCATTTGTCTACAGTTTGGTAATACCAGAATCTCATTCCTTTTAAAGGCTGTGTAATACTCCATTGTGCATAAATCTCAATTTGTTTATCCATTCAAACAAATTGAGAAATGAGTCTTTTTGTCGCTCTGGGGTTTGGGCTTGGTCATCATAACCAACTCAGTGGGTGTCCAGTGGTCTGTCATTGTGGCTGCTGCATTTCCTACACGAATTTGCATTTCCCTAATAAGTGCGGTTAGGCCCCTTTTCATTTATTCCTTTCTTAAATTTCTATTTTGTAAAGATATATTTCTGCAAATCAGTGTTTTTCCTACTTTTCTGTACACTTCCATGTCCTCCAGGCCTTATTAAGTGAAGATTTGACTCAACAGCTGGGTGACAATCGATCCTGCCTATCCGTTTCTCCTGCGATATTCGTGTTTCGGTTCCCCGCTTTCATCAGCAAGGCTCCGGGCCACAGCAGGGACGAGGTCACCAGACCTGAAGCCACGCTTGTTTCCCCTAGCCATTTATTTATTTATTTATTTATTTATTTACCAGACAACATCTTGCTCTGTCGTCCAGGCTGGCCTCAAACGCTTGATCCCTCTGCCCAGCCTGTGCTTGTAACCACCTTCTGTACCTCTGACTGTAGGAAAACTCTCCAGGCCCGGTTCACCACCTGATGCAAAGAGCGAAGGCCACACAAGCAGGCCACGTTTCCTTCACCTGGATTCGGTGTCAGTGCCCAAAGCGGTCAGTGTGGGCAGGTGGGACATTCAGGTCCTTCATTCTACCCCATGGCCAGAAACTAAAAAAGAAGTCTTTGCTGTCTGACAAATGAACTTCATTATGAGGTAGAAAATAACGATCGTACCGATTTTCGAGGTAAACCATGAGATTTCAAGGACGTTTCCTGTGTTTACACTGCTGGGCCTCTAGGGGTCCTCATCCTTTCTGCTCCTCCACGTGGGTGCGTGGGTGACGGTCGGAGAAGCCTGCTGGGTATGGAGCTCCGAGAAGAAAGGGTGGAGCGGAGCGGGCTGAGGCAGCTGCAGCCTCTGGACTGGCCAGCATTTCCTGAGAAAGCCTCAGAGGCAGAGCTGCTCCAAACTTGGGTCTGTGGGCGAAGTGGCATGAGAGCCAGAGGACAGGGGTACGGGTAGCCCTGAGCTTTCCATGAGGCCACGTTCACCCCACCCGGGAAGGAAGGAGTGATTCAACACCCTTTTATAAAACTTAAAATACTGTTTTCAGTGCTGGGATTGAATCTAGAGACTTGTGGTAAAAATCTATTTTTTAAATTTTTATTGGTACGTTTGTGGTACATAATAGTGATTATATTCCTCGTGGAGAGTTGGTACACGTACAGAACACATCTTAATTCTTGTTATGTCTCCCTTTCCTATTATCTGTCTTTTATTTTGTTCTTTGATTTATTTATACTTTGAGTTTCTCATCGAAGAGAAAACATGCAGTATTTAAACTTGTGTGTCTGATTTATTTCAGTTGAAGATATTCCTAATGAACCAAAATACAGGTGCATTTCCCACATCATTTCTCAAGTTCTATGACTTTTCACTGCTCTGTGAGCTTTCCGTACTCAGCATCACTGTCCGGTTCCGGGTGGAGAACAAGAAGAGAGGCCTGACTCGGAGCCAGTGAAGGTGAGGGAAGGCCCAGAGAAGGCTCCGGTGTCCCTGTGGGCACCTCGCCTCCCAGGGACGCCCGACTGTGAGCCGACACCTTCAACTCCTCTCCCCAGGTCCACTGTCCCAGCCAGGGAAAGGGAAGCGAGGGCCACAGACCTGCAGCCAGCTCTGGGGTTATCTGGCTCAGCCTCTAGAGATGCTGGCAACCTTTCCCTCTAAAGCATCAGATGGTAAATGGTTTAGGCTTCATGGGCACTGGAAATCTATCTTGACTATGCAGTGCTGGAACTGAAGCACAAAATCAGCCGCAGATAAGGCAAACAAATGGACACGATGAAGAATACTCGATCAAAACTCCATTTACAGAAACAGAGGGCCAACCGGCTGGGTGGGGCACATCTGTGATCTCGGCTATTCAGAAGGCTGAGGCAGAAGGATTGCAAGTTTCATGTCAGCCTGAGCAACTTAGTGAGACCCTGTCTCAAACCAAAATATTAAATAAAAGGGCTGAGGATTAGCTTAGCGGTAGAGCACTTTGGGTTCAGTCTTCAGTATTTATTAATTGCCAACAATTAAAAAGCATAGAAGAAAGCCTCACAGGTCCCAGATCGACTCCACAGGAAAGACAGACCCTGAGAATTTTATGGACATGAAACAGGGCTTTGAGAAACCTGTGGTTTTGAGTTCATCATAAATAGGTATTGTCTGAGAATCGATATCATCATTGCTAGCATTTTAGAGCAGTTTGTGTGTGCCGAGCAATAGACTAAGTACACCTTATGGATTATTTTGCTTAACACTCACAACCCTACTATAAATAGATATTACAGTCATTCTACCTTCATGGCTGAGGGAATTGAGGACTGCAAGGTTACAGAGCTGTCTTGGGCCTGCTGCTGCCCAGAATCTGGAGGTAAATTTCTGCTGCCACCGTGGTAGACAACCAGGGCCTGACCTTGCCACTGTCCCCAGATGCCTCAAACACTGAGCCTGGTAGATGAACCCTGGCCCTCGGATGCTGAGCGGGACAGGAGCCCCATGATGCCCTCACTCGCAGTCTGGGCATGGGCAGACTATAGCAAGGTGGGGGCAAACAGAACCCAGCAGTTTCAGGACATAATGTTTGAGCTCTGGGAGGTTGTAGGGGGCAAAAGCAGCTAAAATTTCTGGAGTTTATGTAAAGTACAGAACCACACAAAAGGAGCTAGAGACACGGGGGACCCTTTGCACCTTCAGTGGCATACAGATCAGCAAACGTGGAGACAAACAGCTGCAGCAAGAAAGACCCATCAGGGAAGGCCAATCTCCAGAACCAACCCAGGGGTGGGAGGTGGAGTCCCCCAGCCAGAGAAAGAGACCTAACATCCGGGCTGGGGACAGACAGAGTGCTCAAAGGTCCTGCCTCGGCAGTGGGGCTAAAACAGCCCTACCCTACAGGCTCTTTTCCTCATCCCAACAAGAATTAAAAATAAGTCAAAAGGATCCATTTGTTTTTAAGTAACTTAACTGCATCCTAAAATGAGTTTCCAAATAACTTCATTGCCATAGAAATTAAATTTCAATCCCTTAAGAAAATGTTTAAAGGACCAAAAAAAAAAAAAACCACCTTCCACTCCAAGACATAAAAATGACCACTGTCTGTATCTAGTGAAAAAGTAGCAGGCTCGGACTGGTGGTTGTGGTCAAGTCCTCGTGCCGTGTGTGTGAGGTCCTGGGGTGGATCTCCAGGAAAAGAAAGAAAGAGAGAGAGAGAGAGAGAGAGAAGGAAGGAAGGAAGGAAGGAAGGAAGGAAGGAAGGAAGGAAGGAAGGAAGGAAGGAAGGAAAGGGAGGAAGGAAGAAAGAAAGGAGGGAGGGAGGAGGGAGGGAGGAAGAAGGAAAGAAAAGGAGGGAGGGAGGGAGGAGGGAGGAAGGAAGAAGGAAGGAAAGATAGAAAGAAAGAAAGAAAGAGGGAGGGAGGGAGAGAGGGAGGGAGGAGGGAGGGAGGAGGAAGGAAGAAGGAAGGAAGGAAGGAAGGAAGGAAGGAAGGAAGGAAAGGGAAGGAGAAAAGAAAGATCAATTCAAGGTTCCAGAGAAAATTCAAGCCATAGAAACAGACACAGAAATGCTACCAGTGATACAATTCATAGACAAGGATGTTAGAACAACTTTTACAACTGTACTCCCTGTGTTCGTAAGGTAAAAGAACGCCTAAGTGAAGAGGAAGGAAATGGAGGACAGGAAAAGGACCCACACCACACAGGTCAGGCGCCAATGCCTGAGGGGAGAGACACTAGCAGTGGCAGAACTGGAGCCCTGCGAGGCCTTGACACGTGGTACCCCCACGCTGTACCTGAAGGAGAAGCGACCCGAGCATGTCGTACCCGAAACCAGGCTGACAGCTTCCCTACATTTGCTTGAACTGAATCCTGCTCAAACCAGACAGAAGGAGCTCAGGGTCAGCAGACACTGCAGAAGTAGAAGCCGCTAGGAAAAGAAAAGAATAACCACTGTCACCCAAGTGTGAATCCAACTCTGCCTGTGTGGATTTGCTTAGATTTCCCCGTTTACATGCACACTTTTTAAAAAGCCAAACCCATCTGCTAAACACTGATTAACTGGACTTAGGCTCTGTGACCACCCAGATGCCGTGGAGAGCCACCCTGGCCACCAGTGCCGTAAGAAAATCAGAAGACCATCTTCCTGGTGGGTAAGACCCTGGAACTCCTCCCTCCGGGACCCTGCTTCCACCACACTGGCACTGAGCTCAGCTTTTGACTTTCAGGATAATTTCCAGAGCAGTATTTCACCAGCACAAAGGTTCCAAGTCACCCTGTCACATGCATTTGCATAATACACATTACTAATTATACCTGGCTTTCTTCAGGAAAAGCAGTCTGCCCCTTACATGCATACAAAACATGTTAGAATTAGGTGTAATCTCAAAGATCATCTAACTACTCTGTCATTTCACAGATGAAGAAAACAAGGCCACACACAGGGATATGGCAGAGCAGAACTATTACAGGTATCTGACTTCTTGGAGGACCAAAGGGCATTGTGGAGAGCAATGCAGGCACCTTACTGCGAGTCTGAGATGTTGGGCCACATCTCCGGCCTTCTGTAGGTGGAATCGCACACGCATGTGGCACTGCTTTTACACGACTGCAGCAACTGCCACACGGAAAGAGCTTAAGTGAGTCAGTTTAATGTCCCCCAGGACTTGTTAACTAGGATCCTCCCTGGGAGAGGGACCAGTTAGAATCTACACAAATGGGCAAAGGTCAACCCCCTACAGGCCTAATAAACACGGATGTTTCCAAGTCTAGTCCAGGTGATGGAGGTGAAGTTCAGGAGCGCATAACTAAAACACAGCTTAAGGGGATAAAACAAGAGCTGTGCTCTAATTTTGTTGGAATCGTCCTAAAAGGGAGGACAGTATAGCCAGATGTGGTGGCGCACACCTGTAACCCTAGCACTCAGGAGGCTGAGTCAGGAGGATTGTGACTTTGAGGGCAGCCTGGGCTACACAATAGGTTCAAGGTCAAAGAACAAAAACAATACAAAAAGGTTTTTTTAAAATAACAAGACGCCAACCTAAAGAAAGATAAAGCCTGCTTTGGGACCAGAATAAGGCAGTGACGACCATGATGTGGCCTTGCTGCCTCCATCCCAGGCCAAAGGAAGCTCTGCTGTGAGCTGAGAACTTCCGGTTGATCCTTTTCTCCTGGAAACACTCTCCTCTGATTCTGCACTTCCTGAGCACCTTTCTCAGGGTGGCCTGCATTAGGACAACGTCAGTACATCGCAACCCCAGACCCCCACTTCTCGCTCCCTCTCTCCCTCACTCAGCTCAGCTCTACCCTGGGCCGTAGCCATACAGACGCAAAGCCAATGCAGCCACCCACCACCGGAAGAGAAGCCAGCCGTAGAGTGAACCTGACCTTCAGGAAGGCAGAGACAGGCAGGTGCAGGTGCCAGAGGCACAGGCAACAAAGACACGGACAACTGCGACCAGACTTAGGAAGGACGGCTGAGTGCCTCAGTCAGCCCACCTGGTCTCAGCTGCGTTCTATTTCCAACTGGCAAACTCCAGATTTCCCACATTGCCTTCACTAGTTTGGACTGCAGCCCCCTGGAGCAAAAGTGACTGGCTGTGAGCACTTTCCTACACAGCAGATAAGGCCCTAGTCAGCCTTCACAGGTGTCGGGTCCGTGGGGAAGATGATTTGCAATGAAGCCAACAGATAAGGATTAAGTGTTGATCCAGTCACGCGTGATTTTGCTTGGCGTGACCCACTCACCTATGTGTGCGCTTGGCTGTGTCTTAGCATCGCAGAATGGACCACTCCCGGCAACGCCAACTATTCGCAAGCCCAGACATAGAAACCTAAGGATCCGAGCCTGAGGAGTGAGAACCGTGGTCCCAGTCGCCTTTTTGGAGAACCAGGTCTCGTATCTCCCTCTTTTTATGTCCTTAAGTGAGTCCCACTCCCAAGATGCTTGCCACTCCTCTCTGCTCGCCACATGCTCATTAGGTGGTCAATGACATCAGAAGCTGAAAAGTAATAAAATAAACTTTTTGCTCACTCAGATA